ACATAAATAATTTTTCATTCAATATAATCGTTTTCCATTACAGTTAACAGTAAAAATACATGAATGCACATTACACTCACCACAGGTATATGAAAGGGTCCCATTGTACGTGCAATACCTATCGTAGAAGTGGAAGTGGTGTCCCCTATGACAGCATGCACACTTGAGAGCTTTTTACAGCTGCTGTTCCCGTTTTCATTCCTATTCATTAGATTCAGTGAAGACCTGATGGAAAGAGGGATACTGGGGCAGGAGTCGAAGATCCTATAACCTAGTGTTACATCTGCAAGCAGCTCTGAGCTGTTGTTTATTTCCTCTATAGCAAACATCATGGTGTAGGCATACTGAAGTTCACCTGGGTCCAGCCTGAAAAAGAAGCAAGAATTAAAATTGTTAGATTTTTAAAAGAAAAAAGAGCAACGCATGCAACAAACAACTAAGGCACATTAAGATCTATTTTTCCATCCCTCTCTTACCCCTCACATTGGATTGGTCCTGGATTGACTTCAGGAGTTGGATTGACAATAACCGGGTTCTGGTGGAAGGAAAAGATACCTCCAATGATGATATCTCCATCCTTAGAAAACTTAGACAGTTCTCTTGTCCCATAAGTTTGACACACAGGGATTTCTCCTCTCACACCCAGCAGCAAAAGAAGTAGAAGGTTGGAAATCAGCATAGTTCCTTAGGTGTTACCATTTGCTTACCAAAGGTAGTTCTCCTAAATTGTGGCCTTTTTATATCAACCTAAGCCTAAGGGGCTCAATGCAGTGTTTGTGAAAACAGTACTTGGCTCCACCAATAGCATACCTTGTCATGTGACTTACATGCAAACTGGGTCTTGGAAGTTCCACTATCTTTATTTTTATCTGTGCTTTAACTATCACCTGAGCCTTACTAAAACAAATATGAAGTTTGTATTTTAGAATTTTTCTAGGGGTATTTTTTTATTTTTTTTTATTTCTGTTTTAATTTACAGTTTTAATCATCTCTAGCGCATTATTCCACCAAGTTACACTGCAAAACTACATTTTGACACATCCATATGCAACATTCGCCATTCTTTTCTTAATGCACACTAATTGGATCAATGTTTGGTGAATACACCTAAAGAAAAAATAGTCATCAAAACTTTATGGATTAATCAAACACAACAGTTTTCAATCCATTCCAAACTACACTGATTGCAGACCCACAATGTAGATCAAGCTACCCCCTAAAACAAAATGCTTTTTGAAGTGTCACATTTGACTAGATGGGAGCTGAGAATTCTCCACTTTACAAAGTTTTTAAGAGAAAAAAAAAAAAATAACACGATAACATCCTGATAATTTGTCTTAAATCATGATAGGAGCTCACATACTTCAAACAACACATCCGATACAACAGATTTGTTGTATTTGTTAAGTGTACACTAGCAATGTCATTTTGCAAATGTCATTTTGCAAAATTTGAAGGGGGCAGCTTCGTTATAAGATCAAAACAGGCAACAAGTAAGGTGATTTCATTTTAATCATAAAGCTGCTGCACTGAAAAACGTTAGCTCTGCTCTTCAGACTCTTATAACAAGTTTGTGTTCAGTGGACTGGTACAAAGCTTAACAATAGCCTACTTTATAACTTTCTTTGAAAGTGTTAAGATGGTGTTATTATGATATATAAGCGGGACTTTCTTTAAGCTACTTTAAAAGTTGCAATTACAGTTTTGGTTGAGATAAGCCATCTAAAAAAACAAAAAAAAAACAACAACAAAGAAAAAGCAGAGAAATATGTGGATGGGATCAGCTTTATTAGGAAAGTGTCCTTTTTTACAGAAAGAGCAGCTGGTTGTATGGTTTTGTTGACTTTTTTTCTTTCTCTTTCTGTCTAAAGGATCTCTCTCCTTTCCACTGATCTTCTTTCTTCCCTGTCCCTCTGTCAGGTTCGGCATTATTGGACACGTGTAAGTTCGGAAGCAAAAATAAATAAATAAAGCAGTTTTGGTAATCAAGGGGGGCTTCTCACCAACAAAGCGTCCCTTGGCAAATCAAAATTGTTAAGCATAGCACGGTACTCAGATTTCAATTCTGCTGCCATAATGCTGAACAGGACAAGAAAAAAAAGGAATGTGTCCGTATCAATATGTATTATCTCATTTTAAAGCATTTTCAGAGCCCCAAGGCTTGTTTGTGTCCATTGAGCATCTAAGTGGGGGAGGGATATCAACTGATTTCAGGTAAACTAAAATGTTTATGGCTGGACAAACATATTTACTTGCTTATGTGAACCTGCAAATTTAGCGTCTACTAAGTTTTCTCACATCTGTATAGACATAGCTCATTTTGTTGAGCAACAAATTTAGAAATCACATTATTTCAGGTGACATTACCCTTAATGAAATATCACTTTAAACCATAATCAGGGTTCGGTGGTTTGCCCTACCACAAAAACACATAACAGTAGTCCAAAAAGGATAACTGTCACAAATATATTTATAACAAAGCAACTCAGGTTAACATTATCATTATTAATTATGAAATAAATCAAAAGCACAATTCCTCATATAAACTGCAAGATCTTTCTAAGTTTTATCATGTATGTCAGAGTATATTTTAGTGTTTTAACAAAAATACACACGATTTGGTTTTACTTCTCTAAATACTACGTTTTGAGTGGTTTCTCCCCATAATGTGATTCTTAGTGTTCTTCTCTGGTTTCAATAGTAATATATAACATTTTGGTGCAAATATACAGAAAAGCAAACCAAAGCTTGAGGCCAGAATTGC